TCGGAGGGAACCTGTTTCTCCTCTTCGGAGGGAACCTGTTTCTCCTCTTCGGAGGGAACCTGTTTCTCCTCTTCGGAGGGAACCTGTTTCTCCTCTTCGGAGGGAACCTGTTTCTCCTCTTCGGAGGGAACCTGTTTCTCCTCTTCGGAGGGAACCTGTTTCTCCTCTTCGGAGGGAACCTGTTTCTCCTCTTCGTCGCTCATCTCGGGTCGAGAGAGAGGCGCGTAGATAGAGAATGAGGGTTTCTTAACAGAATGTCAGGTTCCACAGCCAACAACTGAGTACCCACTTATCAGAAAGGTTATACTTTATTGAAGAGCTATACCTGCATTAACAAAGGCACTGTTAAGAATGGCGTCGCCCCTACAAGCAAAATGGGATATGGGGTATCCGTATGCACACACACCCTCCTTAGGCCAACTAGCCACATTCCCGCGCGCGGGAGAAGGAGCCCCAGGCCGTTAGAGCCGAAGCTGGGCAACAAAAGCGCTCCCTCAGATCCCAGACACTACAGAGATAAGCAAGCCTTACAGAAGCAAAGAAGAAGAAGAAGAGATTGGATTTGTACCCCGCCCTTCACTACCCAAAGGTGTCTCAGAGCGGCTGACAAACTCCTTTCCCTTCCCCTCCCCACAACAGACACCCTGTGAGGTAGGCGGGACTGAGAGAGCTCTTGACAGAAACGGCTCTTCTTCAAGAACAGCTCTTATCAGAACTACGGCTTGCCCAAGGTCATCCAGCCAGGTGCAAGTGGAGGAGTGGGGAATCAAACCCGGCTCTCCCAGATTAGAGTCCGGGATTAGAGTCCAGAAGGAATGCAGCGGTGCCGGGTACATAGGGCAAAGAAGCATCCCATCCCCCAAACCATATGGCAGCATAGCTGACAGTGACGCGAGAACCCCCCACCCCCTGGCTACCAGTACAGAGAGGAAGGAGTGTGCCCCCCCATGCTATTCCTCCCCCCCCCGGACTTGGTTGCCTTGTCAGGCTTTCGGCTCCAAGGACGCGTCACCTTACACAGTAAAGTCCTTTCCGGACAGTGCCTGCAGAAGCCGCGGGTCAGGATGACAAAGGCCATTCCGTCCGGGGGGGCGGTTTGCTTTGCGGAGGTGTGAACGCAACTGTGCCACGTTGCTTACGGTGCCCTCTGACTGTACTGGGCAGGAGACCAGTTTGGGGGTGTCATGATCTGGGCTGTGCCACCAGAGGCCTACTACGCCCAGGGAGCCTGGCTAGCAGTAGGTGAGGCTGGGCCTACAACTCCCAGAAGCCCCTGAGAGGTTTTGGAGCCAAAACTGACCAACAGGAAAAAGAGGAGGGCTTGGAATAAAAGATCTGGAGCGGCAGGAAAAGCTGTTCTTCTTCCCAGAGGGCAGAGCCAGAAGGAAGGTTGCTGCAAGGAAGAGACCCTCATCCTGAGGGAAGGGTGAGTAGTCTAGTGCCACTTGGAATAGTGAGCTAGGGACAGTATATATTCAGACGCGTTAGGGCATTTGATTTCTTTTCTTTTCACCCACTGACTGTTATTATTCTGCACCTTGTTGTTTGACCTCCTATGAAATGAACAATTTTCACTGTTCACTCTGCCTGGTCCTCGCGCCTGTTATTCAGCCTAAAGGGAGGTCTGAAGGTCTTGGGAGGGTGCTCTGGGCCTTCTCAAGGGATCCTAATTCCAGAGTGGTGGCAGCGTCAGGTGACACCCCACCTGAGCCATGACAGGGGGTGACTCTGGAAACAAGGCAGGAAAGCTGGAAATGGAACCCACTGAGCCGGGAGCAATACAGAAGGCACTGTCTGAGGACGGCCAACTAAGAGAGCCTCACCGGGTCTGACAGTATAAAGCTACCCGGTCCAGTACCACCTGAGCTGTCCCAAACAATACTCCCTCTAAGCTGTGGAGTCTTGTGAGCAAAAATCCTACTTTGTGAGCAGGGTTCCCTCTAAGCTGAGTTAGTGTGAGCTAGCTCACAGTTTTTTAGCCTCTGGCTCGCATCACACTAACTCAGCTTAGAGGGAACCCTGCTCACAAAGTAGGATTTTTGCTCACAAGACCACATCTTAGAGGGAGCATTGTTTGCAAGCCACTGGCATTAAATTTGGCTACTCACACTAACTCAGCTTAGAGGGAACACTGGTCCCAATTGGGTCCCAATGGTGGGAAAGGAGACCTGGGAGTGGGAAGGCAAGCTGTGACTTCCCTGGTTTCAAGCACTACCCTGGTGACAAAGAAGGTGCGGAAAAGGGGACTCTTGCAATGCCAGTCTGTGCCCCCCTTTTAAAGGCAGGCTTGGAACGGCCCAATGTATTTGGGGGGAACGTTGTAACATTTCGGTGTAGTGGTTAAGTGCGCGGACTCTAATCTGAGAGAACCGGGTTTGATTCCCCACTCCTCCACATTGTCAGCTATGCTGCCATGAAGGTTGTGGAGGTTGGTCTGTGTCTGGTTAATTGCTATTGCTTTCCTTTCAGGTTAATTGCTACTGCATTCCTTTCTGTGCTGTCTCTGCTGTGCGCCGAAACGCTTATCTATACAGATGTGCAGGAGGGTCTTGTAGTCTGGGATTTCCCTAGGTGCCGTGGGAGAATGTTCGTTCTCAGCTTCAGCTACATAACGTAAGCCTTATCCCGCGCGCGGGAGGGTGCCTAATTGGCCAGTGCTGTGGGGGGGTGCATACGAATACCCTATATCCTATTATGCCCATGGGGCCGCCGCCATTCTTAACAGTGCCTATGTTACTGCATCTATAGCTCTGCAATAAAAGTATTACCGTTCCTGAATGCGTGTACTTCGTTGTTGGCTGTGGGTTCTGACACACATGCAGCTGCTGGATGACCTTGGGCAAGCCATAGTTCTGATCGGTATCAATATCTGTTTTTACCCCTTCTGTTTTTAATTCTGGCAGTCTCATTCAATGTTAAGAAAAAG